CAAACTTTAGCTTGATGTGCGGGTTAAGTCCCTTGCGGTAATAGTACAGCTTCTCCTTCTCAGAGTTCACAACATAGGAAGGTGCATAGCGCAGAAGGTTGGTGAAATGAGTAGTGTACTCACTCACCTTGTCCTTTCCCATCTTGATGTTGTGGAACTCCTCGGCTTTGGCCTCCATGATACCCTTGGGAATGTGATACTCAGTGAATGCTTCGGCGAACTCATCCCACGAGATATTGGCAGGGTTCTCATGGGAATCACTGAAACTGTCCCACCAGGCGCGTGCTGCACCTATGAGCTGGTGTGTGGTAGCTCCAACACACTCATCGTCGGTGAAAGTGGTGAGATCAAGCTTCTTCTCCATCTCCTTGAGCCAGTCATTGGCTACAAGCGGGTCAGGGCCGGTGCCATCATAGGTAGGTGGCCTTAGCTTCAGGAATCCTTCTAGCTTCCTTTGGAAGTCATTCTGCTGACCTCCCTGGCGGCGGTTTGCTCCTTCAACAAGGGCTGCAAGAAGCTGGGTCTGCTGCGCTATCACTTCTGCCAGGTTCGGTGGTGGTGGTGGCGGAATGTTCTCCTCGGCAGGCGGCGGGGTATTCTCCAGGTTGAAGGGTATCCCTCCACGTCCACGGCCACGGCCATGGCCATGGTTGTTGCCACCACGTCCCCCATTTGGTTCGACTGGTTCGGGGGTGGGCGCACGTCCACGGTTCATTAGGCGATTAGATCGACGGTTCGGCATCTGCAACACGGATCATAGGAGTTTAGTGCCTATGCCATAAGTGCTTTTAATTCAATATGATTACATAATTTTGATGATTTTAAAGAAAAACATTTATACTATCCAACACTCATTACAAAGAAGCAATAAGATCCATAAGATGCAATAAGATCCGAAACATTCATTACATGAGTTTTATTACATAGCACCATCTCCAGTAGCTACACTTGAAGACGTGCGAGAATCGTACTATGCATAGTGTCTCATAATACATCTCATAAGGGGTACAACTTATGGAATCCACTGACATGACTCATGACCACGCAGGGTCATCTACTCTAACTCATACACTACAGCTGGGATACGACTGTTCTCGATCTCGATCTCCTCATCAGACTTGTGAAGTCGGGACACGTACTTCAAGGCCTCGGCGAGCTCCTCAGTAGGCTAGGCTCCAGGTAGGGTAGGGCAGGCGTCTAGGTTGAGGCGAGTCGGGGCTAACTCAAACTCCTCTATCCTAGGCTTCATCTTGCTACGAATCTCCTTGGGTAGCTGATCCCACATACCCTTCATCTCTCTAAGGCGCTTCTTGTCGGACTTCTGCCAAGCCTGCCATGTCCTCTCACACTTGTCCTGTAGGTACTCGGTCTGCCTGAGTGCCTCGATCAGGTGACCCTGGTTGCGAACGGCCTTCTTCCTAAACTCCTCCAGCTCCTAGGTCAGGGTCTTGTTCCAAGATTGGATTTTCAGCATATCAATCCCCTTGGACCTCTCTCTGTCTCCTCTACGGTTGAACTCGGCCTTCTTGTCCTCCAACTCGACAGGCACAACTCCAAAACCTTATTGTCGAGGTAGCAGTTCCTGTTGCCTAGGTCGGTTGCTTTGTCCTATAAGTCAGCGACCTCGGCTCTGTGGACTTCTTCACGATGGTTGAGCTCGTCCTATAGCTTGGCGATTGCCTCGAGCAGACTAGCTCACTCCTGTGCTCCCTGTGAGTCTCGCTCCTGGTACTCCCACAGAAGGGCTCGGTCCTGACGTCTCCTCTGCTCAAGCTGGGTCACGTACCTGTCCTGCTCTAGTAGGTGGATAGCTGAGACACGAAGGCATCTGTCCTCCTCTACCAGGATAACTCTGCCGGCTGCGAAACTCTGCTCACTAGGGGTAAGGCTGAGGTCGAGGGCCTGGGGAAGTAGACGGAACTTTGTCGTCTTCAGGTGCTCGTAGTGGTCCCTCATCACCCGGCGAAGTGCCTTGTGCGAGACAGCTTGTAGTCCCTCCTCAACTGTGTCCTCTATAGTCAACTCGGTGAAAGCTGGGACAGAAGGTAAGGTAGTGCTAGCTGGAAACTCGGCTGAGGTGACAACTGGTCCTTCGATTCCTCCTTCCTGAGCTGGCTTCCCGGTGCAGGTGACCTTGACAAGCTCGTCTGGGACTCCTAACGTGACGAGAACTTGATGAGGACATCGCCATGCTGGACACACCGACGTCATGGTCTTCCCCAAGTTGCAATTCGTTCCCAACTCAGCTGCCACGTCGCCCTCAGATTCAGCAGACACGTTGTCACTGTTTTGGTCATAACTTTCTCATATGACATCGAAACGGGCCGTTCTTGGATGCGTTGGAAAGGGGACGACGACGCCGTCATTTTGGATCTGGTCCCAGCTCCAGAAGGTCCGTGGATCATTCTATGTGACCACGGCAAGGTGCTGCATCACCTATTTGGGCCAACTTGGCCATGTATCGTGTCGGGCCTTAAGCCCAAGTTGTGGGCGCCCAACCCCTGGCCGTCCCCAACCCTAGGTCGAGTCTTAGACTATAAACACAGCCGTCGCCGCTGCTATACAATTGGGTTTTGTTTAGAGTTTAGTTTTCCATCGAGAAACCAGAATCGTTCATTGTAACGTGGTGACAAATCCTTTTCAAATGATCCGGGGCCCCGTTCTTGATCTCCTCATCGTGTCGATTAGTCCTTTGGAACCGAGTTCTAGAACCCTCTATTGATATTCGCGTTATTCATATTTGCAATATCAGATTGCGTGTTTTACCTTCTTGCTTGTGCTCTTCGATTTGCTTGCAGGAAAAGCCTTCTGGGCGAGGTCAATCAAGTTGTGCTTGGTTGATAACTAACGGAGTAGTGGTGTAACGGTTGCAGTGTTCGAATCACGTCTGATTTGAAGCCGGATCGCCAACGTCGAGATCTCCACAAATCGAACTTACCGGCTACCTCTCGGAAGATCGGGCCTGTACTCATCAATTGGTATCAGATATTTCAGGTTTACCACGAGGTATAATCTCGTTTGCCTTAGATTCGTATTTGTTCATTACCTAGAGTCTACAAAAAGCCCAAAAATATTTCAATTTCCATTTGTCCTATCGCCCTTTGTGCCTTTGCAATCTCGTTTTGATTCGTGTTGTTGAGTTTGTGTCCGTGGTCGAGTCTTGTTGCTGGTTTAGGATTGTGTTCGTGGTCGTAGTTCAATCGCCCGTTGCTGTGATTTTTGTTTTCCGCCGCTATCCCATCCACCGTTCCCAAACAACAAGTCGAAGCCACCACATTACTCGACTTGCCCCGCTATCCGCCTTGTGTCACTTCTCGCCGCCGCACAAACCCTAGACAGGTTGCTAGCCGCTCTTATTTTGCCTGCATCGTAGCCCTCCTTACATCATCAGGCGAATACCTACTGCTGTTAGTCACAGTGACGATCCTGTGATCGGTGTTAGAGTTTCGGGACGCTTTGCCCTAACTGCCGCCGCCGTGTTGTGCCTCCCGGAAAACATACCTTGAGATACCTTCGGTAAAACAGGAGGAAAGGAAAGCCACCGTGACAGCAGCCTAAGCGCGAGACGCAAGCAGAAAGACGGAACGCGCGAGGGCAGCGAAAGGCGAAAGCGAAGAGAGCGATGTCTCAAATGCGATGAAAGCGAATGAGCAATGCGGGGGGGGGACCCCGCCACCAACAACACCCTTATAGGCAAGCGGGAAAGCGTCCGGCTCGGCCCCGCCACACAACGGTCACCTCCGGAAAATTCGCTTTGCCGCTGGCGGTCATCTCCGAAAAAGTCGCAAGGTATGCAATGGAAACTGACACGGCATAAACGGCCGCGCCATAGGACAACGGCTAGATTTGCTACCCAACGGCTACTCTCAACGAGACCAGCGGCCATGCTAGAGCGGGCCAGGGGGGAAGTAGCGGGGCCTCGCTTGAAGACGCCGATGAATATGGTCTCCGCCCCCGCGGACGCCTTTGGCCAAGGCGTTTTGAGCTCACGGCACGCTCCGGCGAACCATGGTCTCAAAAGGGGGGAACTGTTGTAACACGGCTTCGGCGGGTGACGAAGGCCTCCGACAGCATGGTGTCGCTAAGGTGTCTTCGACCGTCTTGCGGCGGAGACCTGGCGCTGACTAAAGGAACTTTCCTGGCTATGCTCGTAGGGCACTACATGAGGCTCGGCATGCTTGTCGCGAATTCCGCCCAGGCCGTGCGCTGAGACCTCCGACCTATGCTCAGGCGGACGCCGCCCCGCTTCGGCTCACGGGCGCCTCCGACCATGAGGGCGGAGGCCGCCTTACCTCTGAACTAATTAAACAAACAATCTTGCCTAAGTGTGTGCGGTACTCAAGCGCAGCGCCCGTGGCCAGCAGCGAAAGGCGCCAAAGACATGGCCTCCATGCCGCAGGCGGAGACCCTGGTTGGCGTCTCCGACCGGACGGCGGAGACCCGCCAAAGCGACAGCGCGCCCCGATAGACGTAGCCGGCGTCGGGGAACCACGGGTTTCGCACGGCCGGGCGGAGACATACGGACGATGTCTCCGACCGGACCGACGGAGAACCGCCAAGGCAACGGCGCGCCCCCAAAGACGGAGGCCAGCATCAGGAACCCAAGCCTTTGGGCCGAAGATCGAGGCACGGTGGGCCGGCCGCTTATGGAGGCCCGTTACTTGGAGACGGCGTGGCGAGATTGCCCATAAACGAGAGACCAAATGTCGAATATTCCGAAACTTCTTCAGAGCGGTTGAGGACATTGTAATAAATTCCATCAGGAAGTAGTTGAGTCATATAAATAGGGAACACTTGTAACCGTGCGGGTGATTGGTGCAAGAATTAATGAAACCCTAGTTTTGCGTGCCGTTTCCTTACTCGCCCATCTATCGCGCCTGTTTCCCGTGCCTCCGCCGGGAGGAGGCGGAGGCCTCTACCTCCTCCACACTGTCTAAGACCGCCAGTTTCAACACAAGAGGTTGTTCAATGGAGATGATTTTACCAATACAAAGCTCAAGATGGTCTCCATTGTTGGATTCGGGGGATTAGGCAAGACTACACTTGCCCAAGCAGTATTTGACATACTTGAAAAGCAATTTGAGTGTACTGCTTTTGTTCCAGTGGGCCGAGAATCTGACATCAAGAAAGTCTTGAAGAACATCCTAATTGGACTTGACAAGCACAAGTACATGGGATTTGACTCAGAAGCACTGAGTGATTGGCAGCTCATTAATGAGCTCAGGGAATATATTGACAAGAGGAGGTACGAATGAAAAACCCACCAAATTGAAATGCTATTATTGATATTATACTATTTTGACGAGTGTTTTGTTTGAATTACTACTTGTCCATCTACTTGTGCTGCAGCACGGCCCATGGGCTGATGACAACTAGTCAAAATTGATTGTCTTTGCTCCCTTATTTATTAATTCTAACACAATACCGAATGCCCATATGGATACTTTCTTATCTTCACCCGGTTCCAATAGACTTAATTATTAATTACTTTGCATTCATTTTCACTAGTTTTTTTTTTGCTAATATTCTAACACAATCTTCATCCGATTGTAATAGACTTCACTTACTGATTATTTTATATACTTTTCTGTCCTTATTCATAATTTTTCCCTTTGCATTGAGCCTCCATGCGTCTGACATGTGTTTAGCTGAAACATAAGCTTCAGCTATGTGTTTGACATGGAAATTGACATGCTCAACGTTTCTTGCATCCATGTATATATGGTCTGCAATATTACGCATATGTTGAATGTATATCTTGAGTTAGTTAAAGTGGGTAATTTTTATGATCGTGTCTTGTGCAGATTACCTCAGTGGCCTTTTAAGTGCATCCAATTAGTTATTGTAAGATAATTGTGCTATTTGTGGTAGTTGTAGGCCTGTGCATGGGTGGGTTTACATGGTTCCGATGGATTTTTCAACCCACCCGTGAAAGGAGTTGCTAGATGGGTCATGGGTGTGGATCAGGTGGATTAAATGGATTTTATGGTTCAACTGCAGCCTATTAGCCAGACCACCATGGCTTCCTTGCTCCTCCATCGTCTCCCTGGCGACTTGGCATTCTGCTTCGTCTTTGTTGCCGCGTTCCTAGTATCGGCTGTCATGCGCATGGCGCACCGCTAAATTGCTGCCATGAACCTCCACTGTCCTCGTATCCTCCCAGGATTGAAATGGCATAGAGCATTCTTCAGATTTCAGAGTACATGAACCTTCATACAATTAGATTTCGAAAGGAACAAGAACAAGCTACTTCTCAGATCAATCATGAACCGATTCCCATGAAGAGCATCGAAGGAGCTCCACCTTGCTGGTATGGCATGAGGTCCCCAGTCCATGGTGTCCCCTGCCTCTATGGTGGCTCCCAACTCCCGTGCCTGCTGTGGCGACATCAGAGCACCTACCGCAACTGCCGGAACTGAGCCCCTGTTGCTACGCCTTCAGGCCCAAATCCATTGCTGAATTTTGTTCCATGCTCAGTTTTAGATGTATGGCACATCATTTAGGAAGAGAGAAAGGAATCAGATCAATTCCAGATTTTGCTTGAGAGAGTTCGTGAACGAGGGAATAACCATGATATGTTCTCAAGTACTCCCTCCGGTCCATTTCGCATACGTTAAGAGTCAAACTTTATAATCTTTGACCAATAATTTGGTCAACAATTTTTAACTATTGTAATACAAACCTGATACTATTAGATTTATAATCAAATATAGTACACAATGATCATAAGTTTATAATCATAAATAATATAATATAAAATAAAAGAATGATCAAAGGATGGGGAAACCTCCCTTGATGTTAATAGTAGAAGCATGAACATTTTGTTTCCTTTCCCTTTGTATTATTGTATTTCTTATTACAGAGTTCATGGGATGCAGCACAGTTAACACATCGCACCCTTTAACACTGAACATGTCTTGTACAAAATCTTAGAAAATATCAGGGACCTTCTACAGTGTGAAAATATACCCAATTAAAACCAGACATCATGTTTTCTTAGAATTGGTTGATTCCAGGATAAGTATTAAGATGCTGATCTACTATGTTTGGTGGAGTTTTTTTTTTTTTTTTTTGGGGGTGGGGGTGGGGGGTCACAACCACATTCCTAGCTATCTAGCCATAAATTAGCTTCCATACTATTCCTAGAACCTTTTACTTCTAAACTATACATGCACGTAGAATAAATTTTACTTCTAGAGAAATAGGTTTTTAGAAACTTTTGTGCTGATCGAGTTGTAACCACAACTATAAGTGATATTGTATGAGTGCACTACAAATGATGATGTTGATACATAAGACATTATACCTTCATCAAGCAACTTGTTCATGATTGCTTATGTCATTTTTAGATCTTGATTCTTACATCGTTTTGTAATACTCTCTCTCTCTCTCTCTCTCTCGTCATTTTTATAAATCCATGACCCTTTCATTTCCATGCCAATAGGTATTTGATTGTTATTGATGATATATGGGAGACATCAACATGGAAGCTGATTAAATGTGCTTTGGTGGATAGTAATCTTGGAAGTAGAGTAATCACAACTCGCATTTCTGATGTTGCCAATGAAGTCGGTGATGTTTATGTCATGGATACACTTTCCGATGACAACTCGAAAAGGTTATTCTACACAAGAATATTTGATGACCCACTTTCTCAAGGTGATGAATGCAAGGGTCAAGTAGACACTCAATTGGGTGAAGCAATGAAAAAGATCCTAAAGAAATGTGGTGGCGTACCATTGTCTATAATTACAATAGCTAGTTTGTTGGTTGACAAACCCATTGAGGATTGGTCCATGGTGTACGACTCTATTGGTTTTGGGCCTAAAGATCAAACTGGAGCCGTTCAGAACACAAGGACTATATTGTCATTTAGCTACTATGATCTACCTTTGTACCTAAAGACTTGTCTGCTGCGCCTAAGCATATTTCCAGAAGATCACTGGATTGAGAAGAATTCTTTGATATGGATGTGGGTAGCTGAAGGTTTTCTCAACGGGGAGCAAGGAAAGGATGCATTCGAGGTTGGCGAGAGATACTTCACTGAACTGATAAACAAAAGCATGATCCAGCCAATGAAGGGTGATGAGGACAATGCTGTGGATGGATGCCGTGTCCATGATATGGTGCTGGACCTCATCCGCAGTTTGGCAACCGAACAAAATTTTGTAAAAGTATTGGATGGTGAGTTTCAAGATCGCTCTTCTCCACGGAGCAGTATTATCCGTTAGCTAGCATTGCACAAGGGGAGCAAACAAGATACAAATAAAAACTTGACCGACGTCATGGCAAAGCTGAGGTCACTCAATGCCATTAAATGCCCTATTAGTATGATGTCACAGCTTGTGCACTTCCAGACTCTATGTGTGCTTGCACTGGAAGGCTGTGATATCACAGGAGGCTGGGCAGCTACGTCAGTTGAGGTACCTAGGATTGAAAGACACATGTTGCGGAGCTTCCAAGGGAAATAGGGGATCTCGTGAACCTGTTAGCATTGGATGTCAGGAATACTGGCTTGAAAGAACTGCCAGAGACTGTTGGTGAGCTCAGCAAGCTGATGAGCCTGCGCGTGAATGATGGCACAAATAATCTGTCGCTACGAGATTTGGGAACCTGACGTCCCTGCAAGAACTGGTGCTTGGAAAAGTGGTCATGCCTCCATGGTTCACTGCCGAGCTGGGAAAACTGACGAAGCTGAGGGTGCTCGTGATTTCATTTTTGGAGACTGGAGAGTACATGGAATCTCTGCTGGACTCTCTGCGTGGACTGCGCAGAATCCAGAATTTGACGTTCCGGTTCTGGCCAGAAGTCTTGGTGAGCTCCTGGGATGGCTGGGTGGCACCACCGCAGCTCTCCCAGTTTGTGATGGAAGGTGTCTGCATGGTTCGGCTGCCAGCGTGGGTGAACTCAATGCGTGTCCCGCATCTCTCCAACCTGCGTCTTAAATTGCTAGCTGTGGAAGCGCGGAACTGGGAAGTCCTTGCAAAGATGGCGGAGCTGGCGGAGCTCCCCGCTACCTCTGCATACACAGCATGGTGCAGTTGAGTTCAGCAGGGAGCATCGAGAGCCTTGTTGATGATGGCCACATCTGGAACAAGTACAGCCAGAAGGAGATTCCTGGAGCCAAGTACCCACGGTTGGTTTTTCTTTTCTTTTCACAGCTCAATCTGCACGTGTCTTCTTGACACTCGTTTGAACTATTTTGCTTCTACTTTGGGGTTCCAATGTTGCTGGCTTTTGTAAATTTTGATATTTTATTCTATTCCCAAGTGATTTGCCTAAGATAGGATAATACAAACAGTATGCTACAATTTTTGAGATGGAATGGACTGGATTGGTTATGCAAGTTTACCACTTTTCAATACATTCACAATTAAAATCTCTCTTATTCTTGTGATAAGGTTTGCAGTTACAGCATAAAAACTGTGGCCAATGAATCGATCTGAATCCTGCGACATTTCCAGGTTGTACTACCGGTGTATGCACCACCAATCCCAGGGATGCATGGCGACGAAGCAGATGCAGCCCAGCGATGGCGACCTGACACTCTTTGACGTCATCTACCACAACACCCACACCTGCATTCAGAGGACAGCGACAGCAAGGATGGTAGGCCAGGTTTACGAAGCCACACACCTGACTTCAACTTCAAGCGAGCTCAGTGATTATGCGAACCAACCTATCAGACAAGCGAAGAAAAGGTGCGTACCTTTAATGTGTGAATTTGGTCCTTCACTTTCCATCAGATGCACGAAACCTTCCTGGAACAGAGTCAATGGACACAAATCTTTTCTGTTGCAGCGTGGATGAGTTATTCACGTTTTCTTTGCAAAATTTATTCTGTGATTTGCAGGAAGATTATGGAGAAGCAGACGCTTCAGGTGAGGGTGAGTACAACAGTCGACGGCTACATCTGGAGAAAGTACGGCCAGAAGGAGATCCAGGGAGCAAAGTACCCAAGGTTGGTTTTTCTTTTCTGTTCATAGCCCAAACTACACGTGGATCGATGAACGTCATTTGCTTCTGCTCAGGAATTTCCATATCGTGGCTGTCCTTTGTGTAATTGGGGCCTTTGTTTATTCCAAGTTGACCAGCCTCCACTTCACAGATAGGATAACGGGAATGGGATTAATATGGTAGTACGATTTATCAGATGTAAGGGGTTGGATTGGTGATGCAATTTTTGTGCCAATGTTAGCTCTGAACTTGCAGCCAAAATTATTTTATCATTACAAGATGAGATTCGTCACAACTTAAAAACTCCGCCTGATGCGCATTGTACAAAAACTGCAGGTTCTACTTTCATTGCACCCATCAGGGATGCTCTGCGACTAAGAAGTTACAGCGCAGTGATGAGGACCCGACGGTCTTCCTTGTCAACTATCGGGGCACTCACACCTGCCTTCAGAGTGCCGCGGCCATGCATCAGTTGGAGCCCGACGTTGGGGCGATCACCCCAACTACCAGTGAGCACTAGTAGTACCCTCCACTCGCTCCGGCAACCAGTCCCTGCACCCTTATGTGCTCCTTTGTCACAATCTGGATCAGATTGAGATGATAGAAATTGGTAGAATGGAGGACTTTAGAGAGACGCACAGAAGAAAAGGGTGTTCAGAGGTTGAAGAAGAGGACACCAGGGAGGTGGTTATTCAGTTCATCATCATCGATACCCCTTCAGTTACAGGGGCGTTCGTTTATATACCATGTTCGTGGGGCGGAGCTAGATTAATTTTAGTCACCGGGGTCCCGGGTCAATCATACAATCGTATTGAGGTCAATCATGCTGTAATACCTTCTTAGAAAAAGAATTTGCTGTTAAAGAGGAACTAGATTATTTTTCTGTTTCTTCTTGTCCTTCACTCCAACTCTCTCTCTTAAGTATTACTCAGCACAAAATAGCAATCCTATACATGCTCTACTGCCAATCGAGAGCCCCACATAAAGGCCGCTGGGATGAGCCGGTCGCTTGGGGCTGTGAGTGTTGTAAAATAGACTGTTTCTAGAAGGAATGAAGAAGCATGTTAGCTCTTACTAAATTTTTAGGCCTTGGTAGGACTATATATATATACACGTGGTAGCTCTACGTTGTAATTATCAATAATTAGAAGAATAAAGAATAGTCTTTTTATCTTGTGTCTATTTGTTCTTCTACTTTCATCTACTGTGTTGATCATGAGAGATGAAGAGGGAAAAGTCATCTACTGTGTTGATCACGAGAGACGGAGAGGGAAATATCCTAACTATTGGCGACATGTTTTATAACACGTTATCAGCACGACAAGCTCTACGTCGACATCTCCGTTGAAGCCGCCGCCAATCTTTGACGCCGACGCTCATGCTGACGTCCCTGCCGCGACTACTTCGACGACGTCGATATCCCCGACGTTGTTAGCGGAACAGATCTGCTACCTCTACCTACAACTAAATCTGCATTGTATTGACATGTATCGTTGTCATCAAACAGGTAGATCTACGACAATATCAAACGCCCTACGCAGTATGCCGTACACGGCACGTGAGGTAGATCGAATCCCGACCATCGAGCATCGGGAAGTAGTCCTCTCGGTTGAAACCCCCTATGAGCGACGAGTTCGCCTCAACGAGCTCCTATAAAAGTTTATTTTGGCCTTCCTCTCTGAAGAACTTGCCAGACACTGCGTGACACACGATATCGTTGCCAAAGGATCTGAGCAGTTCACTTAGGTCAATAGCGGTGCCTGCGGTGGCCGCCTCCCGGATCTCAGCCACCACCAACCTCACCAGTTATGAATTATTTTCAGGCAATGATCTTCATCTATTGAACAATATATGTATCAGTGATTGTTCAAATTGGCGCATGGTTATTACCTCGTGCTCGCGTGCATGGCGGTAGGACCGGACCTTCTTGTTGGTGAGGAGGTGTGTGGTGACGATCTTCTTGACCTGGCGCCAGTGCTCGCCGCAGGGCGAGAAGACGACATCCGTGGAGCCGTAGAAGAGGATGTTGGTGACGGGGAAGTAGGCCCTGGACGCGAAGATGTGGTCTTGTGTGCGCAGCACGGCCTGGGCGGCGCTCGGCGAGGAGACGATGAGCGTGGGGACGGCACCGAGGTGGAGGAGCATGAGGCCATCGCGGCCATGCTTGGCGGAGAGGTCACGGAGGGAGACGTGCGGTAGGGTGCCGACGAGGTGCAGGTGGCCAATGATGGGGAGCCTGCTTGGAGGCGAAGGCAGCTTGCTCAGCAGCTGTTCTCTGGCTCTTGCGGTGTCCGTCGTTCCAAAGCGGCGGCGCACGAGGAGGACGAGAAGAGGACAGACGAGCAGGACAGAGAGCACTAGGGCCACCTGTGGTGGAGACTTCGCCTGCAGCAGCTCCTCGTGGTGGCCATGACCATGAGCGTGAGCCATCACTGAAGCGTAATGTGCGCAGCGCTTCCCTAGGCTGCAGCGTAGTTCAGTTTACAGATACTGAATTAAATGATGATAGCTGGGCTTTCTTTGCCCAGACGGCCTAATATAGAGAGAGAGAGCTAGAAACCTGGTGCTTGCACCAAGAATTAAGGATCTTTCTTGTCCATAGTTTATTCAGAAAAAGTTGCAGACAGACGTAGAGGGCCACGACCACGAAATACTATTTTACAAATATAAACATCACTGTGACTCTTAACTGCTTTTTTAGTTATTAGTACTAGCAAATATGTCCGTGTTCCATTCCATGTAATGCAACATATAGACTGTTGTGTTCATCACCTGAACGACTTGCAACTCATATAGATTTATGCAAGATCGCATCTTTTGTTCTAATACGCACTTAGTTTAAAACGTGGTCTTGTACTCGTTTTATTGGATTTGGACCCAAAACGGGATCTCGTGTCAGATTTGGATTGGAAACATGTGGTCTCAAAATAGAAGGCACAGTTTAGCTTTATACGGTCTTCAAAATCACACCTCAACACTAATTTTGCTTATAATAAATAATTTCTAGCAACAAAAGTTTGATCATTAGAAATTTTTAAAAAAGCATGCCCATGTGTTGCAACACGACATAAAACTTGTTATGTGGTCCTAAGACCATAATTAGCAAGGTATCTTATTGGATTTAATTGAGCTTGCCCCAATCTGATGTCAATGTTGGCTCTCAAATTATTGTTCATGAGAATTCATGCCATCGCCCTAATTTTTTTTTTTTGAGGGATCAGGAGGATGCTCCTACTGTAAATGCATTAAAAAGAACAAAGAGTACAGATACAAAGGCTAGGAAGGGGGAGACAGAAACATCATCTGTTGACCGCCAAGAAACTAGGGAACAGAGAAAGAAAAGAAAAGAAAATCCAGAAAATTACAAGTTGGAATTGATCCATGATTCTAAAAAGGGGATGAATCTAGCTTTGCATATATGTAGCAAAAGAAGTGCCTCCACTGTTATACAAGACTTGTAGTCTTCCACCGAGGGATTTTTGTTTCTAAAAATGACATCATTTCTCATCATCCAGATCCCCCAGCAGAAAAGAATGAAGATATCCAGAGAGAACTCAATCTGTAGCAGAGATTTCCAAGCTTGAAAGATTTGCTGAATTGAAAGGTGATCAGCGAAGTTGAAGTTCACTATGTTCCCACAGTTTTTAGCGAAGGGGCAGTAGAATAACAGGTGCATAACTGTCTCCTCAGTGGAAAGTAGAAACTAGTATTTTTGAAGTAGAAACTAGTATTTTAGCGAAGGGGAAGTAGAATAACTTGTGCATAACAGGTCTCCTCATGCCATCGCCCTAAAGTAGCAACTAGTATTTTTGAAGTAGATCAAATCTTGTATTCTTCAGATTTTGAATCTGCATGCAAGATTCTAGAACAATTTTCTAACAAATTTGGTTCTCTCTCTATTTTTAATCATGGCAAGTTGGTTGGCCGAGAAGGTATGCTAGCTGCAACCAAGATTGAGTCGTCTGTTGTTTTGATTAATAATTGCTCATCCAAGGAAATATTAGAGGCAGAGACGTCTTGTATCATGACTGTTCCCATATTGCTGACGTGAAGGGCAATTGACAAATCATGCTTGTTGCTACCCAAATGTAAGTCTGAAGATGATGGTGCTTATGATCAGATGAAGGATTCTGCTACAATTTTCTCTAGGGAGGGAGGATGATGAACCCATGCCTCCTGAATTAATTATAGCTGAAGACGATACAAATTACTTAAGTGTGCAGCTTGGTTCATTGTCTTTTTCATATGAAGGAAACAACATGAAGGGAAGAGTTATATCTACTATAGGTATTATGACAACCAAGCTAATGTTTAAAGGGAATAATTTTCACAAGAAAATAGAAGAAAAAGAAGCAAAGAAAATATATTCATATTGGTTCAATGGACATCGACATTCGATAATGAGGACCAGGATTTTTGTAGCCATACGTGCTTTTGATATCTTATATTCGTCTGATCGATCACTTTTGAGATTAAGCTAGCCAAATAGTGGGATTTGTAAAGGAGCCGCATTATAAAATAATATATTTGTGTGTAGATGTGGATACCATTATTTTATTGAGTCCATATTGGAGTCGGACATTTTCTAGTTGGGTCCCAACAATGCAAGTTCGATTTAGCCTAGTTGAGTTGGAACTGGGCTTGGATTGGGCATGGGTAGAGTCGAACACAGATAATACCCACGACAAAATTAATTAAAATTAATTACTTGGCTGCTTTGAGAATTAAGATTCCTGTGAACTTTGGGAGGACCATTGGAGCAAAACTCTCCTTGATATGTTATTGATGAGGTGTTGTATGGTATATTTTAGGTTGTCTGAATAGTATTCATGTGATGTTCTTTTTAATTTTTCTCTAAGTATATGTAGCTTTTAATTTATTTTTCCTTTATCATTTTTTCTATCTTTTATTAATGTTTTCTATTTATGTCATTTATGTATCTTTGATTATTCACACAGTATCTATGAGATAATGTTATTTTAGGTTGTTCGAGTAGTTTTATGTGATGCCCTATGATTATCTTTAAGTATTCATATATTTTCCATTATGTTTTATTCTATCTTTTGTTAATTTTGTCTTTCTATTTAACTTTTTATTATTTTATTTTTCCTACATATTTCATGACATTTCTAATTTATTTATTTTCCTATTTTCACCTATATTATGATATCATTAACATGAACCCAATATTGTATTCTCCTAAATCTAGAATATTGTTTTTCTGAACTTACAACATTTATTTTGTGAAGACGGAACCTTATTTTCGGAACCTAGAACATCACCTATCTTCACGAGATAAATGTTCTTTAACAAAATTGTCTAAATATATCTATGTATTTATTGTATGGAACACAATGATGTAGTTAGAATTTCATGTGATGTTTACTCTGTAAACTACGGCATTTTAAAGTTTTTAAAAATATTCTTCAAATACTGACATCAATAAATTTGGACACTATATTATTATACATATGTATTGGGAGGATGGAAACCGGCGGGATGCGGTCGTATGCTAAGAGCCTCCGCGGGGGGTTGTTGTTGACAACGGAGCAGCACGGCCTGCAGGAGTGAAAATCTATGGCCCAATAATTCGCTCGTGCTAGCTAGCAGTAGTAGGAACCATGGAAGCTGCAGTATCATACGTTCAGTGTTGCGTGAATCTAAAACTTGTTCCAAAAGATGCATAAGAATATCACAAATTTTCCTTCTCATCTTTTTACTGTGCTCATGACAAAGTAGTTCGGCCAGCTAGAATTCTTGTAGTGGCCGTATACATCTTGATTCAAGTCTTCGAATTGATATAGGTGTTCACATTTTTCTAAATTTATTTTAGATTTAACGGTGCTATTTTTCCATCAGCAAATGCCATGCTCATTGATATCAAAGCATTGTGGTGACTTCGTCTTTAACCTTGAGATCTACCAATACAGTTTTTCGATTATACTCATAGAGGTAAGGTGTATATACCTACGTGTGTTAATTGGGTCAATATATGTGTATATATGTGAGCTTTTGTATTAATATTGTGATTAGTAATAAAAATTTTATGCTCTGACAGGTAATGTCTTTCTTTTATATGAATATTTTTTTTATGAAACAGGAGGGGTGTAAACCCCTACTGGAAATTTATTAAATTAAAAAGAATACAAAGAGTACAAACTTTCAAGAAACAAAAAAGGACACAAAGAAAATAAGGAAGATTACATTAAGGGCACACGCCTTTGTAGTGGGCAGTTAGATGTGCATCGTGATCTGTGCACATATGCATATATCCAACGGTTCATATCACCAAGGCATTTGTGTTTGATAGCATGCTATAGTATTATGCAAAAATCTTGGTGCCTTATTAGAAATCCGAGTAGAAAACAGATACATATGCGCCACTCTTCATCTTTAGACCACTGCGCAGTTCACGAACTGGTAGTTCACCTCAAGCTGCCCGTCGGCCATGCCGCGGCCGTCGGTGTCGATCTGGTGGAACACCGGTGTGTCCATCCCAAGCGCCTCGCCGCCGTTGATTCCGCCGCAGTCGTCCACGATCCTCACCGTCGCCGACGCGCCCGTGACCGAGTTCGTCACCTGCACGCACTGCCCACACGCGTCGTCACCGCGAGGCCCCGTCGGCCAGCAGAACGCCGTCCACCAGTACAGCGACCGCCACTCCAGCGGCTTGTCCTCGTCCAAGGCCGCGCAGGACGCGGACACGGCGCCCAGGTCCCAGTTAACCGACGGCGCGTTGTACTCGATGTACGTCGCCATCACAAAGTTTGCCGCGCAGGACGACGCCCTGTGCACGCGAGTACATGCTGGTGGTCAGTTTCAGTTCCATTGGTAATGCTTGGCATGCAGGCAGTTAATGGAAGCTCCTCTTGCTTAACTAGTGTGAGTGTGTGACTGTGTGAGACTGATTATGTGTGTTTATATAGCTGAGAGGAGACTCGGATGCCCAAGATGGAGACAGAAAATGTGTCGTCACACGTACACCACCAAACAATTGATTGAACGCGGCCACGAGCGCGTCGGGTCCAAAGCTCATCACTTCCCGTCTATAAATAATTTGACTCGTCCAAATGTGGTAAACAAAACAATAATAAACCAGTAGCCTTGTTAAGCATAACGCTGTGATCGATTGTCCTTTAGCCTCTGGTACATGTGATTCGATAAGACCAACCTAATGATGCTCAAGCAACCTTTAGATGCCTCTGGCCTGCAACAAATTAACTGCTCCTACCTCCATTATTCGAAACTGATTCCTTCCTGTTGCCTTAACTATTTTGAAACTATTAACAATGGTTACTTTCATTTATTTGCGGTATGGAAAAAAATTAGAGGTATATGATTTATTCTTCGATGAGATCTACAACTTTGTAGCTTTGAGTTTTTTCATTTGAGTACGTTAAGATGCTCGAAAAAATAATATAAAATTTCAGCGCTCCCGAAAATATCAAAAGTTACTGTTCACCCACAAAACCGCCCTGAAGGTTGACAGTTGAACTTTTTCGAGAGTTGGAGGGCCAACGTTGTCCGGTTTTGAAGTTCGAGGTTGAAATCTGGATTTTGGTGAAAATTTGAGGGTGTAAATTGGACTTTACCACAAATGAGTGTGCAATGTAACGATAGAGAGGTGTTGTTTGCGCTGAAGATCGTAGGTTCGAATATTGAAAGGCAACCATTTGACAGCTAAATTTAAAATGTCTGCCTCTAAAATTAAAATGTTTGTTGCAGTATGTAGTGCACCCCAGCTGCGCTAGCTCGGTCGCAGTCTGTACACCATATTGCTAATGCTTTACTATTATGATAAATTGTGTTACTTCTTATTGTCGTACACAATTGTGCACATATGATCGATTGGTGAAGTTTCTAGTGAAATCATGCCAAAATTTATTAGAAGTTGATCAGTGCTTTCGAAATTTCAGAAATTTTTTGTTCATGGATGTGATAACTTTTATTTCCCCGTATTTTAAAACCCCAAGTGAAATAATAACTGTTAAAACATCAGAACGTTGTAGCACTTCACTAAACAGGCGTGAGAATTAGCAGAACCGATAACACTTACCAAGGTAGGAAACGAATGATCAACATGCCACCTGTTTGACTTAGTTTTCAGCTAGCTGGATGGTAAATATATATCCATGCTTCTAATACCTTATCGATCCTATATAACTGCTTTTGCTAGGTTATAAACACTTGCGACATTTTGATCTCAGTTAACAATGCGGCTCTGGTCTGATCGCGTTAGCACGCCAAATAAACCAACGCCGGGTCTCAGCTTTGTGAACTGCTTGCCGCTTTCGCCTTCGCCTATATAACTGCTTTTGCTGCCACTGGCTAACGCATTCACCGATCACTGCTTGCTTGCACTACGTCAGATATGATTTCCAGGGGGCGGCTAATAGACATTTGTAGGAGCGGTTCGGCCAGCCGCCCTTACCATACCGTCTCTACAAATTATGTATTTGTAGGGGCAGCTGGTACTGTAGCCGCCCCTACAACTACAAATCGATTTGTAGGGGCGGCTACAGTACCAACCGTCTCTACAGTGCATTTTTCAGCAAAAAAAAAAAAAAAATCAAATTACCAACACATGCTCCCCCAAATCAATGCATGGATCATTAACTATCCAAAAGTTTAGGCACACACCAGCTCTTTTGACTTATATTTTAACAAAAATGCTATATCACAGACATCTAAACAGGGCAATAAATAATTACATGTGGACTGTGGTACAGGTGGAATGAACTCAATCATGAATGTGGACTACACACTGAATGTACACAAAATTTCAGATCAGAACAGACATAGCTCATTATATTTTTAAAATACAATGACAATGTACATAATGAATGACAAGCTGCACATTGAGTGTTGAAACCCATTACATTTTAGAATACCGAGAGAACTCACTGTAAGGCTTCATCAGACATTCATCTGTGAACTTCTTTTACAATTGTGTCTTCACCAACAGAAGATGTCGGAAGCAGGTGTTTATCTTCCAAGTCATCTTCATCAAAGTTATCGTTGCTGGTGGTGTTGGAACCATCTAAATTCACAGACAGCAATATGACATGAGACTGGATAACAATAGGGCATAAACGCACCAGAATGGACAATAGTACAATGTATAGACATGAAAAATGGCAGCAAGGAGATCTATATGCATGATATTGTCAGTTATAAATAACATGACAAACCACCAGTTATGACAGGAAATAGAGAACACCAGAATCTACTTGAGGAATGACAGTCTGCAAGATGCTTTGTCTCAGTTGACTCAAGCCGCATGCTTTCTGGTAGAAGGCAGTTGCAGAAGGCGTCTGAAAATAGTTTGGATTATCCTCCATTGTAAGATATTGGAATTTTCATCCCAATATGTGTGTTCTTTTGCAACAAAAAAAAAGTATATGTTTTGATACGAAGTTACAAACCAACCTAATAGATCCATGTGTTTCATTTGTCAGTGACTCAGTTACATCCAAAAATGCAATTCAAATCATGGGAGATATTGACATCAAATATTAAGGCTTATGCTTATGATGTTTTTCACTTTCATAATGGGGCCATACATGCCCCATGAGGAAAAACTCTGGTCGGTATTTGCCTATAATCTGGACAAGACTAGTAAGAAATGTATTGCATGTGGCAAGGATAACTAGAGCATTAGAGATTCATGGATTTATACATCTACCAAGGCAACATCTAGTGTAAGAAATGGCTCTACTAGATTCCAAAACCACAACCAAACAGAACCCAAGCTGGACAAAGCAACCACCAAATAGTGCTGATGCATCACATTCACATGTAGTGCCGATATAAATCAACGTCAGAGCATACGCACAGCTCAAGGCAGCATTTCGACACAATCTGACAGGACATCAGTACATCACAGAAAGCACATCACCATCATGGTTTTGCTCTTAGTGCTTAGTAGTCTCATATATTCAAACACATTCTGACATAAATGAATAAAACACTCTGGAATTGTGTGTTAACCACTAGGAATTTTCCCCTTCTATCTTCCCATCGAACTCTGTATATCTACTTGTAGTGACTCTATTTGCAAAATAAGGAGGAGATCAAGTCTGATACATACCAAAATTTCAGCGATGCCGTTTGTGCAGAAGTGAGCCCCTTCCGGACACCCGCTTGGCATGGATGGCACACAGGTTGGTGTTCTCGAAGAGACCCACGAGATACGCCTCAATCTTAGTGCCAGTCAACAAGTAACCTTCTGTAAGTACAGAGAAAATAGTGCCAGTCAACAAGTAACCTTCTGTAAGTACAGAGAAAAATTAGAAAGAGAAGAATGTTCATGTGCAAAGTTAGAACCATCGCGTTGAGTAGCTTCCAGAACCAAACCACATTCATCAGTGCCCATTAGAAGAATCCTAAGGTGAAGGTGGACTTCTCCTGTGAAACAAGGATGGGGAAATCATTAGAAGTTGAAAAGGAATGCCAGTAGAATGGCAACGGAAATGGAAATCAATCACACTTTTTTGTCATGAATGCACCCAAGGTTATTTCTAACCAAAAAGGAAAACTGCATGCTGCTACAAGAGAAGCAACATCATCTAGAGGCTAGAGCTAACTTTTTTTGCAGCTGTTGTGTGAAGTCTTGCAGGTACAACAGAAACATAGTTTCTGTGACAAGCCACAATTGATTAACCATTCTGTACAAGCAATTTTGCAATTACAATTTTCTTCAGCAACAAGTAACCTTATCGAAAGCCCCAAAAGAATTACAGCTTCCTGATATTTCAGTTTGATTTAAGGTTATGCACTTTCGTAATTTTTATATAGAACATTGAGGAACTACCTTTAGCATTAATAGAAAAAATGCTGATCACACAGATCTCACTCTAAAAAATTCGTTAAGAATTAAAGAATGCACAGGTTAATTGGTAATAGTGTGGTAATAAAAATTATTTTGTAGTTAACATATTTTACAGAAATAGAACACTTCTGATATTTTTCATGTTCATTTGTTCTAAAAGATCTGCAAAGTTCAAATGGATTGTTTTTCAAATAGAGTGAGAAATAAAGTTGAAAAAAATAGTGTCCTGATAATCCTTAAGACAATCAGCAACTCAAATGGGTCAAGACGTTGGTGATTCAGACATGGAACGTACAAAGTATGAATTGTCTTATGACCCTTTTAACTCTGTACAGCATCAGCCAAAAAGGAATTTGAGCTCAAGTAGAATTAGATCATAAGAGGCAATATTTAAAAATAAAAGAAAATAACAATGGTTAGACGGACTAATTTTTTGAAAAACTGTTAGACGGACTAAATCATTCATCTGAAGGAGTTGTTACAACAAATAAGGGGAAAAACTCTCACCATATATCAAAATATGAGTACCGTTATCTTAATTCAGCTAACAACCGTACAACAGCTCCGCAGATGCTATTCATTCAGTTTTCACTAAGAAAGTTCTTAAAAGGTATATACTAACAAATGAACCTTGAGTCCTGAAACACTAGCATTTGGGAGGCTCTCCAAAGCACTTGGGTTGAAGGTGTTCTCTGGCAAGGCCTCCGCAGGACCCTATATTAGCAAACCACAGAACCTTGGCTGAATCCAAAAGCTGGTCTCGCCTATGCATTGCTTCTTGTATCACGACTTGGTCAAAAGAAATTCAACAGCCTGCAAAGCAAGCAGAAACTTAAGACTGATATAGCTGAAGTTACGTAAAAAAATAACAGCCAGGAAAACAAGCAGAAAAATGTGACTGACATAACTTCAGTTACGTAAAACTTAT